CTCTCTTTTGCTCCTTCCTTCCTTCTTCTTTGTGACACGAGGTCTCACATATTCTAGGCTAGCCTTGAACTTTGTGTGTAACCAAGGTTGGCCTTAAACTCCTGATCCCTCTTGTCTCATCTCAGTGCTAGGTTTACAGCTATGTGTGCCATCATACACAACTTTTCTATTATTTTTTAACTTCTTATGTGTTTGAGTGTTTGCCTGTATGTATTTCTGTGCACCACGTGTAAGTCTTATGCTTGTGGGGAATAGAAAAGGGTGTCATACCCCCAGGAACTGGAGTTATAGATGGATGTGATCTGTTATGTGGGTGCTGGGAACCAAACCCATGTCCTTTGCAACAACAATAAATACTCTAAACCACTGAGCAATCTTTCCAACCCTTTTATATAAAAAGATTTATTTAATGGATTTACTCTTTATTATTTAGAGGCACTGGATTTATTTTGGATGTTTATTGTGTAGGCTCAAAAGATGGCTCAGCAATTAAAAACACTGCTCTTGTGGGGGACTGGATTTGGTTTCCAGCCCACATTAGGCCGCCTACAACTGCCTGTAACTCCACTTCCAGGGGGTCCAAGGCCTTCCTCTGGCCTCTTAGGCCACACACATGTACCTGGTGCACACAAACCCACATAGGCACATGTACATAAAAATAAGTAAAATATTTACTGTACACCTGTTGTGTGCCAGGTACTGGGCAAGTAGCAGCTGAGGAAGCAGAAGTAGACAAAGTGACAAATCTATAAAGAACACAGGGAATAGCAAAATGAGTAAATACAATAGCATCTCATCAACTAATGCTTCCAAGGAAAGTATAGCTGGGAGGGGATAAGGAGGGCTGTGGGCCACATTACAGTTTTAATAGAGTGGCCAGGGGGGTCATTACTGAGGAGGTGACATTTACATTTAGGGGCAATATACATTTCAGTGCACAAATGAATAAACACGAGTTTCTATAGGTGCTTTCCTGCCTTTCCTTTTAGTTTTTGAGACGGGTCTCACTGTGTAGCCCTGGCAGGCCTGGAACTCACTATGTAGACTGGTCTGGCCTCCATGCCCTTGGTCTCGAGGTGTGCACTAGCTTTAAATGACCATGCTTTCGGAAGCTACTAATTGTGTGATTTTCTCCTTTGGTTTATGACAGCACTGGTGATTTTCAGATGTTAAAATCAGTTTCGGATTTCACAGACACCCACTGACTATGTCATGACTTTCTGTCCTAATGTATGTATGACCGGTTGTTGGCCTTCTGATGTGATTTTGGCTTGGATGGACTCTGAGGCTGGTGCTGACATCCTCCTGGATTGTCAGAAAGTTTTGGCTTCAAGGTTGAGGTAGGTAGCCTCATACTGAGCTGGAACCCAGAGCTCCACCTCTCTGGATTACTTTGGTTCTTCCTACCCTTTGGGCAAACTATGAGACCTTGGTTTCTTCGGAAGGAAGCTGTTTTATGGTATAACCTTTTCAGTGGTATAAAACCACACAGATTTTCTATCTGCTTGTAATGTGTTTTATGCTTTAATTTTTAAGTCTTGGCAAAAAGTTTCTTGCATCATCTTGTTACCTTTTGCAGCCCATGATGTATACAGTAATGTCTTCTTTCATTCCTGAGACAGGTTACGTGTGCTTTCTTTTTGCATTAGTATTTTACCACAGGCTGGCAGCTTGCATTAGTTTTCATTATATAATCATTACTTTTTGAATATATAAAAATGTCTGGAATTTGCTATTTGACTCTAGTCAAGAAGGAAAACTGTGGTCAGAGAACACATTCCATGTAATTTCAATACTTTTAAATTTGTTCAAGCTTGCTCTGGGGTCTTAGTCAAAGAGGTCAGTCTCTGCACTGTTCTGCGTATTCATGGAGACAGCAGTCCTGTCCGGCAGTGTGTTTACATTCATGAATCCGGCCAATTTTGTTAAGCCAGCTTGTTCAAAATTTTGGCTTCTTTCCTAATTTGTCTTTATCAATTTGGGAAAAGAATACCAAAATCTTCCAAAGAGGTTTGTGAATTCAAATGTTTTTCCTTCTAGATAAAATTGGGAGAAGTGGAGTATGAAAAAAAAAAAATCAAAAAACAACAAAAATACACCACAGCCAATCCAAAACATGGCAGGAAAGGAAAACAAAATCAAACCCAGCCAAGCATCCCCAGACTCTGAAAGGAGGACAAAGCACAAAATACAAAGGCAAGTTCAAGTGTAAATATATCAGTAACAGTTGTCATCTAAATGGGCTAAAACCTCCAAGAACAGAGATTATCAAGGTGGATTATGAGGGGAAAGCCTTGCACCCATGGGTTGGTTATTAGTAGGAGCCACACATAAAATCCAGAGTTAAGTCACATCGCCAGTGGGCCACACGCCTGTTGGAACAGCGACTCGCAGGGTGCTGGAGGAAGTCACAGATGGTCCCTGTGGTCCATCCAGCCTGCTCAGTGAGCTGGACCTTTCCACTTTTCTGCCCCACGGGTGTTGGGAGAGAAGGTCCCCACCCAGGTGTGGCCTAGGGTCACTTCCCGGAACAGAGGGGACAGACCCTCTGCCCCTCCCCGCCAAGCCAGTAGATCTGCACCTAGTTTAAACAGGTTGTTCCAGAATGAGCCTGTGCCAGAACTGTTCTCAGTGAGTCCAAAAGGCTTTCTGGTTATCAGAGGTGATAGCCACATGTCCTGGACACCTCCAGCAGTGTGAACATAGCAGACACCACACAATTTCAGCTGGTTCCATGGCTCATGTTCCAGTCTAAAGCTTTCTTTAAACCTATTACACTATCCAACTGGATCTGAACCATGTAGACTGAACTTTGCCCCAACTGCCTCTATTTGTCCTAGCAAAGGGAGGTACTTAACACCCAGTAGACCCTGGCAACTCAGCCCTGTATTGCTGTTTGTTCACTTGTGCTGGCTGGCTGCCATGCAGAGCATCATGATGAGCCCTTCTCACTGATTGACAAGATGGTCTATTGCTTGGAAGAAAAGGAGCGCTCAAACAGGGCAAAGTTCCTATCCTAGCCTGGGCCATGCACATACACCAGGCCCCAATTTGTCTTACCAATTTAAGAATACCCAAGTCTTCCAAGCAGGATTATGAGTTTGAATGTTTCTTCTCCACTCTCTGAACCGGTCTACAGGCTACCCATTAGCACTGGAAGTACCAGTGTCGCCCCACTAGCCTGGAGATACGAGTGGAGGCTGCAGGCCTTTGTTTTCTACTCCAACCTGCAAGCAGTGAGCTGGACTCAGTGTTAGCACATTGTAGGCAGACTTCTTGGAGGTGTGCTTTAGGCTCAGCAGTTTGAGAACCGTCCTAATGCCATGACCCTTGAATACTGTTCATGTGATGATCACCCAACCATAAAATTATTTCATTGCTACTCACAACTGTTGTCTACTGTGAATTATAATGTAACGGGGTTGTGACCCCCAGGTTGAGAACCATGGCTCTAAACCACATTAATGATCTTTTGTGATTGTGTCTGCTCAAGCCACATTCACCAAGTCCCAGGCATGGCTGCCTGAGGGCACTCAGGTCTTGGATATCTTCAGAGACAGAGTGTCGTCACAGGGCCATGCCACCCTGAACTTCAGCAGGCAGCCCGGGCTCTGGCCTTCCCAGCTCTCATGGGTATAGGCACAGCTCCCGAAAAGCCCTCAGGTTCAAAAGGAATTCAGATCAACTGCAAAGGACATGAGGTGAGCAAATAGGGATGGCCAGCTGTGGGACAGTGCCGCAGCAGATGTAGTGACATCTAGTCAGCCAGTCCAAACCCAAGACTGGCTCAGGACATAGGTGTATTATGAGCTAGACGGTGCCCTCCTCTAGTGGTGCTAACAGGCACGTCCAACTTGCAACCTACCTAACCAGCATGTAGCTGAAAAATGCTACATATGCAACCCAACACAAATGTGAAAATGTATTTAAAGCATGAGATTTTTTTTTTTTTTTAATCTCAACTGTCTGGTTCTTGAATGTGAACTTTCTAGATGACAACACTACGTCATAATGTTGAAAGGCTGACATGCCGCGTGCCCCCTGGCACTTCAGAATGTGATGTTCCTTAGAGTCTTTAGAGAAGATTAAGTTCAAACAAGAGTGAGTGTCATCCAAAACATCTTGTGTCCTGGCTGGAGGGGCACTTCCAAGTGCCCATGAAAAGACTCATGGAAGATGCCATGCGAGCACGAAGACAGCTCCCGACAGAGCCAGCCGTCCTCTGTAGAACCAACCCTGACAAGACCTTGATTTGGGACCCCTGATTGAAGCTGCCCAGACTAAGTCTGTGACACTTTGTCCACAGCCCTATGAGACTGACTCATGTACAGCACTCTTTGCCAGCCTCACTGCACATGCTGTCCTCTCAGGTGTGTGTGTGGGAGAGGGAGAAACATGAGCTGCCTAGTTCCCTTTGTACTGGTGACAATCCAGGCCACCATGCCTGAGTGTTGTCTCCTCTGAGAACCCTTCCATAGAAGCCAATGGCCTTTTCTTAGCAGCTAATATATTTAATTTTAGAATTCATGTGGGTTAGGTCAGCTTAGACCACAGGCCAGCTCTTCCCTAAGTGACATCTGTGAAGTATTCACCCTAGACAGACAAAGGCTGGCCTTTTAGTGTCCTTGAAATCAGGAACAGGCAATCAGATTTAAGGTGACTTCACAGTGCCCTCTGCAGCTGGCTCTGTGCATATGTGGTATGCATGACACCCACTGGGAACCTAGATGGCTCTGCTAAGGAGGAAGAGCAACTGGCTGACTGAACCTGAGCCAAGAAAGCCAGAGACAGGGTCGAGGAATGCCTCTATAGAAGCTCTGTGCAGACACCATGGGGCCTGGCACAGCAGAGGCTAGGGGCCAGGCTTGCAGCAGCAATGAGAGGGCTGGCTGAGCAGGAAAGGAAGCAGGCATCCTGTGATGGCTGTACCCCAGAGGGTCCCACCAGGGCATCCTGGCCACCCAGCGACCTCAGCAAGCCTAAGCAGACAAATAGCATGGTTAATGGGCCCCCCACCTTGGATCCCTGTGGTCACCTCCCCAGAGGTCTTTACTGAGGGCTCCCCCTAGCAGGCTGTTAGGTTCCTTGTGCTGGTTTGGAGTGCTGATTGCTGCTACTCTAGCAGCCTGAGGTTCTGTGTCTGCACTGGTTGCAGGTGAGGCCACAAGGGGGACCAAGGCAGTAGGCACTGAAGGGGAGAGGGGATTCTGGTGACATCCAGTGTGTTCCAGAAGGGCGTGTGCAGTCAGCCCATTGTGGCCTCCGGGTGCTGAGGAGATCTGCTGGGATGAGCTACAGGTGGGCCTGGAAGATTCTACCGAGGAAGCATCTGGAGGCAGCTGAGGCACCAAATTGCCCTTCCCTCTAGAGACTCCTGGACAGTCACCAGTCTTGCAGCCTTCTGCCTGGGCCCGCAGGATCTTTGGTCTGGGCCTAGTGGGGCCCTTCTGCCTCCAGTAAGGTGGGTGTCTGTGGTTCAATCTGTTGGCCCAGCGAGGTCTCTGGGAGAGGGCCAACTGCCAAGAAGCCTGGCCTTTTGGTCCAAGGCTCCGTGAGCGCCTTTCCATCCGATCCATCCGGGTCCTCATGGTGGCCACTTCCTGAGTCAAGCCTGCCAAGGCTGCTGCAAGCTGGTCCAGCTTGTCCGTGAGGGCAGTACCAAGGCTGTGCAGCTCCTGCTGCAGGGATCTGCCACAGGGGCATGGTGGCTGGAGAGAAGTGGGTGGCCACTTTGACAAGGCTGTTGTGGGAAGGGGAGACTTGCTAGGCTCTGGAGGGTCCTCAGAGAGCAGCTTCCCTTGGGTCCTGGCTGAAACCAGAGAAAGGATGGGTAAGAGTGCTTAGGTTGTAAGGGCCTTCTCTCTGGCCCCAGAGACTTCTTTAGTGTATCCAGCATCCTGCCCCGTGGCTTCCAGAGAATTTTAATCTTAGGTTCCTCCTTCTCCCCCCCCCCCCCCCCAAAAAAAAAAGTTTAATTTTCAGTCTTACTTCCCTTGGAGTGGGTCTCACCCCAGGCAATGTGGCGCTTGCTAGTCAAGGCCCCTGCCATTCTTCACCCATTCAGCCCACAAAGGAAAAGGGACCTGCTGTTTGCTAAGCCCTAGCCAAGGCTCTGCCCTGCTCTTTTCTGTATCTTTTAGGGCTGTGCACAGGGAAGGACAGGGGACAGCCTAAGTCCCCAAGGGCCCACACTCTGTCTCACCAAGTTCTTAAATTAAAGCAAGGATCTGAAATTGAGGCAGGAAGATCATGAAATTCCAGGTGGCCTGGGTTACTTGTCTCACACAAAACCTTTGAAACCTTGCCTCAAACAAAAACTAACAACTAAACACCACAAGACAAAGTAAAAATGTGGTTTGATGCTTCATCCAAGGGAGGGCAGCCAGGGCTCTTAACAAAACCTTGTGTTCTTAAAGGAGCCAAAGCTCACAGGCAAAGGTGTCCAGCACAGGTACAAAAGCCAGCAAGGACATGTGGCACAGACACCCAAGTCCCGCAAACCTGTGATACCCTCCAAGCACGGCTCAGGATGCAGGTGCATTACCCTGCCTGTTGTCACTGTGGGTCCCTGGAACAAAGGGATGTGAAGGACCAACTCTGTGCAGGACCTCAGCCAGTTACTCAACAGTGCTGAGGTTCAGTTCTCTCAACCCAAACTTTGACTCTAGATGCTTCTCAAAGCCTCTAAAAAGGTAAGCTTGTGCACCTTTAGGAAAACCCTGAGGTAAAGTGAACCATGTAATTGAGTGGCTTCAATGTAAGACTTTCTTACCCGTGACCCAAATGATGAACTTGGAACATGTTTATTTCCTGAGGCTGGGACTCGGGCTTCTGATTTTCCCAGAGACCACTAAAGCATAGCAAATGCTGAAGAAGCCACCAGCTCACCTGTAGCACTGGGTTGCTCATGTCCAGGCTTCAGGTCCCCGGAGTCTTCAGTACCCTTGGGCTCAGGCCTTTCCTCCAGCTGAGAGGCAGGCCATGGGCACCCAGTTGCCTCTGCAGAAAGAGCACAGAGCACTTGGAACAAGAACAATATTGTTTTGTCAGTGCTACTCCAACATGGGGATATTCTGAGAGCCACACACACACATTCCCACCCTTACAAATGTGCAACTTTTAAATAATGATTGAGTCAGGTGCAAGATGCTGGGGAGTCTAACACTGTTGGGCTGGCCTGCTGTGTGACTTGAGGACTACAGCTCATCCTGAGTCCTGCACAGGTGGGACCCAAGGCCTGCGAGTGGAGTAGCCTCCCAAGGTGATTCCTGGCCCCATACCTCCTCCTCTTCCTTCATCACTGTTGACAGGATCAGACTGACATGTGTGCTCTGCAGCCCCTTCTCTTTTGGGTGACTGGGACTTGACTCCTGTCCCTTCTGCTTTTCCTGTTAGGAACAAAATCTGGGTCATAGCTCAGGTGGAGAGTAAAGTGGCTGTAATATCAGGTGTCATTTCTAGACTTCTGTCCTAATTCCAAGAAGTTTTACTCTCACCGTGTATGTGATGTTGGGCCCTCATGCATGCTAACAAGTGTTTTACGACTGAAAAAGGTCTTTTTTAATTGCCAATGTTATTGGATACTAACTATATAGCATATATGTATATGTATATATATATATATGTATACACACACATATATATGCATGTGTGCATGAATTGAGCATATATTTAGATATTATGTACATATCATTCAGTGGTTTACCAAGATTCCCCCTTGGCTCAGCTTCTTTCACAGGATCTAAAGTACAACAAATTATGGGGATGTTTTAATGAGAGCCAATAGAATGACAACAAAACTCTGAGAATGAAGTCTGGACCTTTGGACCATAGCTCTGCTATCCAGGGGAACTTCAGGCTCACCTGTATTGAGGCTGCTGCAGTCCCCAGGCTCTGTTCTCTCAGGCTCTTCAGCAAGGCGGCTATTGTTGCCAACTCTTGGGGATGCTCCCGAAACAGGGCACAGAGGGACAGGACCCTTACCGGAGGGAAGGTGGTCTTTCCCTGGGTCATAGTAACCTAGTGTCAGAATACTGACAGGCACCTCAAAGAGCAACTCACTGCCATCCCCCACCCCTGTGCCAGCAGACTCACTCTGGAGGGGTGGCTGCCAGAATGCAGGCTCTGGCCTTAGGTCTTCTCCATCAGAGCTGCTGAAGCTGGAGCTGGAGCAGGGGCTGGGACTGGGGCCAGGACCAGTCACGCAGGTAAAACGCAAGGGCCTCACAGGCAAGATCCCCCTCAGAGAGCTCTCCAGGCAGTGTAGAGGGGAGGGCATGGTGACTGTCTCTAAACAAAGGAGAGAAGAGCTCACTGCCCACTACCTGACAGCAGTTCTGATGGCCAGGCACTCAGGATGCATCCTTTTTTTGCTCAGCCACAGTCCATTTGGGCGCTGGTGGACCCTGAACAACTTACTTTCTGGTCATAGCCATGTCCCTGGCCAAGTGAGCTGGGGAACTTTCTGTAAGCTCCAAGTCCCTAGCATCTACTGCTGGCCAGGTTCTAGTTAGGCCCTGAGCCTTGCAAGCTAGGCAGCCTTTCCCATTGGGTAGGCTGTAACCCTCAACTTAGCAGATCCTCCACCCAGCACTATGCATGAGCTGGCAGTTTAATGAAGGCCACAGATGAGCTAAGTCATTCTTCCACCCCCTTTAGACTAGAATGGTCCTACTGGAGCTGCCTATAGTCAGCAGTGTGTACAGGGGTGCCTCCCAATCTCAACAGTGTCTCCCCTGCAGATACCCCACAAATAAACCAAACATCCTATTCTTTCTCAGTCCACTCTGCTCTGTCCACTTCTATATTCCATGCAAGGGAAGGAAGGAAGGAAAGGAACAGAAATATAGAGAGAAGAGAAGGCTATTGCCTTGGTAAAAACTAACTGGTGGGAAACTATGATGTAAACACTGAAAGTAGCTCACCATCTTTTGGCCATTGCCACATTCCTGGCCTGGTGGTCACTTGGTGGCAGGTGGGAGGACAGGTCTGTGTACTCCCTATTCGGAGACTCCTGCTGGGCACTTCTCCCCGACCCTGTCCAAAGTGGGGTGGCTCACAGGCCTCACCCCTCGGTCCTGTTTTAATGAGAAGAGTTCTGACAGTTCTATAGGACCTCATGCTGCCACAGAATGGACAGATTTTTTACTACTGCCAGGCTTTTAGCACACAAGTTTCAGGTGTGGTAGTGACCTTGCTTGGTCACTACACCAGCCCAAACCCCTGGGATCTCTTTACTCCCAACCCAAGCTATATGGAATCCCAGGAGGTGTATAACTCAGTGCCCAGACAAGGCACAAGGGGATGACACAGCCACAACAGAGACACCTGGTCAGCAAAGCTCTGGTTCAGTGGAGCAGCAGACAGGGTGCTAGGCCTCTTCGTCCTGGACTCTGATATCGCTCATTTATGTGAGTCTGCATGCGTGGGGAAGTGACTCTCTTGACTTTCTGCCCTCAGGCTTCTGCCTATTTCCAGAGCATCCTCTCAGCTCAGCTGAGATCTGGCCTGAGGGCTGCTACACTGCTGCTAAAGCCACAGTGCAGGAGGGATTGCTTTTCTCCCACAAATACCGTTTGTTACCTTCTCTGTCTGCAGTCCAGTTCCTGGGCTCTGTTCTCTTCAACACCTTGTCTGCAGCCAAAGAGCAAGGCCAGGCAGCCTGTGGCCTGGGAATAGGGATCTCTCTCAGACAGTTCTCTAGGCCTTGGAGTGGAGAGTTCCCTGGTGGATATCCTGTAGTCAAACATGAACAGTCTTGGATGAGTAGCCGGTGCTCTGGGAATCCCTGGAGCCTGTCTCTACTGCCCTGATTAGGGCCGAAGGAGGAGGCACAGAACATAGGACTTATCAGAGTAGCTCAGGGCCCCAGATGGAGATATGGCCCCAAACACTTGTCATCCCTGGCTTTGGGGTAGCCCCGCTTAGGCTGCCCTGGAAGAAGCTACACAGAAGTGTGCATTGGGGGCTAGAATGAGAAAGTCTAGTCACAGGAGTCTAGTTTAGCACAGCAGCTGTCACCATATTGAGGGGTGATGCTGTCTGCTTAGCATACAGGGCACCCCAACAATCAAATATGCAAAAGACTTCTTTTACCCCTCCAAGGAAGGCAATAATGCAGGCCTTCTTGCCTCTCAGTATCACATCTGGGCACAGGAGGTCTAATTCTCAATAGGTTTCAGATACATTTCAAAGACAGTACTCCTACTGATAAGGGTCTTGTGTAAACAACAGGAACTAGATGATATAAAATTCTATAGGGATAAGGTAAGCAGACAGTACTGGCCATGAGGCCAGGAGGCACCTGGAACCAGGCAGAGGCTGTAAGCAGGAGATTATCACGTGGGGCTGGTGTAGCATAGCAGAGCATGGAGACGTAAGCCACAGCAGGCAAAGGTCTTTGGCACCAAGCACCCTTGCACTTCATCTCCAGAACACATATGGTGTTAGAAAATTTAGAACTCACTCTTGCAGGTTGTCCTCTGACCATATGTATGCCATGGTACACATGGGTGTGTGTGTGTGTGTGTGTGTGTGTGTGTGTGTGTGTGTGTGTGTGTGTGTGTGTGTGTCCCCTCAATAGGATTCAGGAAAAAAGAAAGCAGGCTTTGTAATGAAAACAGTCTTCTGAAGGCTACAAGAGTAACGCAGCAAAATGTCACTTAAGTCTTCTATGTGCCAGACAAGAGCAAAATAAGCCATCCTGCCCACAATTAGGCAGTGTTTGGCAAGACCAGCAGAATTTCTGATCAGGGCAAGAATAGGGTATATGTAAATGTGTGACTTGCCCAGCGTTTGGTTTTGTCTGTGCCTTCTGTCGTCTGGGCCTGTATTCAGTTCTGCTGCTTTAACACTGGATAGTTGCTCCAAACCAAGGTTTACACTGATTCTGCTGTAAACTTACGGCCATATAAATTAGGAGCTTTGTAGGTATGGTCTTGGGGACCGTGAGAAAATGCAGCTGTTCACAGTTGTCCACAATGCCTAAAGAACATCAGGTAGACTTGTTTAACACATCAGGATAAACTAGAATGAGTCACTTTGGGCTGCTGGTGCCATGCCACTGAGGCAGATGTCAACTTACAGTTCCAGGCTTTTAACAATGGATGTGGCCAGGGAACAGTTGGGCAGATGCGCTGGGTATCCACCCATGGAATAAGACAGACATGACTGTTTCAAGAGGAAAGGCAAAGGGAAATGCTAAGAGAGCTCCAGAAAACCCCAAAATCCCTAAGAGTGACTTTTGTTTTAAGCAGGGCTCACGGAGGCACAGGTTTCTGAAGGTGGCTTTTCTAAGATTCTCACTCCATTTTCCCTAAGTTGGAGGTCATTTAGTATTATAGACACTTCTTTTATTCTGAGACAGGGACGTGTTTAATATAAGGGAAACTAAGGACACATTGCCAGCCATTGTCCTATTCCTTCTGAGCTAAGCTACTATACCAGACCCGTCTCATCCTGCCAAGACAGGTTCTGGATCTGTGTCTACTTTGGTATACCCAGTCCTTCTTCTGGCACTGGGACAGAGTAATGGTGGGCAAGGACCAATGTATTCCTTCCCAGAGGACTCCAACCTCAGGCCGGACCAGCTCACCTCTCCCAAGCCGTTGCCCCTGACTGCTCCTGGGGCTCCCGAAATCCAGATCCCCATCACTGCTGCTGGCTGAGGAGAAGCTGGTAGGGGTTCCCTGGGAGCCAGAGGGTTGAACCCCAGGTCCCCCTCTCCTGCAGCCCTGCAAGCTCAGAGGCAGAAGTGGATCTCTTGTAGCTTCTGCAAAAAGAAGTATAATTGGGTCAAGGAAAAGCATGCTAGAGAAGCCCTTGAGCCTTAGAGTATATGGCAGCAGAAGACCCGGCTCAGGGAGCCCCCGCCCCCCTTCCAGGGTTTCCCACAGCATTGATGAAAAGTCTACCGACCACCACGCCTCCCCCTGCCCCACAGTTTTGGGAATAAGAAGTCCTCAGAGCAGGGCAGTGGATGGGTAGAAACCTGGGTAGGTATTTGGGAGAAGGCATGAAGCAGGGGTAGGAAAGAAGGGCACATCCTCAAGGAGGCCCAGAGAGAATGACCAGATGGTGCCCTCAGCATCCCTCCACTGTGTGTGTGCACAGGAGTAACTGTCAGCCTGAGCCCAAGTACCTTCACTGTGGGATCCTTGTGGCTGTAGCTCAAGTCTCTGAGACCCAGCATCTCCTGGCTGGGGACTTCTGGACCACGAGGTGGCTAGAGACTGAAGAGGTGATGACCCACCTGGAGGAATGCCCTTCAGACAGGCCTCCAGAGCTTCTAGAGGTGAACTTGATGCCCTGCCGGCTGGACAAGAGAGGCCACCTTGTCATCTTCTCTTGCTGGGCTCTGGCCTACTTTCAGACCCCAGCTTGGCCCTTGGCTGGCTGGCCCACAGCCTGACTTCTACTGCAGGCTCCAGGGATCTGCTAAGCAGGAGATCCTCCAATGAGGAACTCAGGGAATGTGTTTTCTGCTCCTACTGAAGGAATGAGGCTGTCCTCAACTCTGAGAAGGGTGCTGTGGCCACCTGCACAGGCAGGACCTACTGCATGAAGAAGGCCCTGAGACCAGAGGGTGGCTGAGCATGGGCCTGGACTGAGAACACGGACTAAGATGGAACAACTTGGGAGAAGCAGGGGAAAGGCTCCTTGGCCTGAAGAGAAGCAGGTTCTTCCCTATGGGCTTTGGAACCCAGAACTTACCGAGAGTCATGGGGCCCCAGCGGGGCACACGGGCCTCTCTGTTATCTCCAGTGAAATAGGGACTGTGGCCTTGTCTGCTGAGCTGGCAGGACGATGGCACTGGGGGACTCTGAGCCCAGCCATCTTCTACCTTCACCATGGCAAGCATACTTGCAGCTTCTTGATTACGGCAGAGAGGAGGAGTCTGGGGGCATCTCATCCCTGTGGGAAAGGTGATGTCTGGGAAGCCCTGGTTTCAGGCTCAGACTTAACCTAAGTCCTGGGAGCTCCACTCTATAGGGCTAGGAGGGACTTCCAAGGCTCCTCTGCCTACAGAGCAGTCACGGGCTCTGGGTATGATCACCTCTCAATTCCAAGCACAAATTCAAGCAACACCCCTATGGTCTCTGGGGTGCTTGGGAGCTTTCTAAGGAATGTTAAAAATGAACCCCTCCCTAGTCAGCAACAAATCGGATCTTTTTCTTTTTATACTTTTTTTTTTTGGTCTTTTTCTTTTAGAGGCACTCATATTTACATATCCATCCCTCCATTCCCTCGCCCTCCCTCCCATGTTCCCCACCAACCCCCCCAACCCATTCCCCACCTCCTCCCCAGGGATAGTGAGACCCTCG